GCTGCAATCAGGGGAGTTATCACCAAGCTACTCCAACCCGCAATAGAATTCATTCAGCAGTCAAGATTGGGGAGCATGCAACTGGTTGCTCTCCAGTGACTAGTCAATGCGTCCAACCTAGTCCCAAAGCCTAATCACTACCAAAGTATCTCAGTGATGGCATTGGTGACTGCGGAACTGAGTGGCATGGGTGCGCAACTCAGGGGTTCCTTTGAGATCATAGACGTCTCCCGCTAACGAGTTATAAGATGAAGAGTCTCAAGTTGGTCACCTACAAACAACTAACTAGTTGTATCTTATCAGAAACTTAATTTTTGAGTTCTAAAACAGGTAAATTAAGACCCAAAAATGTTTTAGTTCCCAAAAAATTTAAATAACATTGATATTTCATACAATTTTTCAGTATTATGCTCTACAAGGAAAATTGAAATAAATTATGTTCCTAATAGTATATGGCATCCAGCTTCAGTCTAGCAATCAACCTCATCGGCAAACTGATGCTACAACCATGGGATCGTCATAAAGACTGCTCATAAGTTATATCTTTATCTGGCATATATAGGTGGTGTTTTCGTTGATCATGGCGATAAAAAAGGTGAAAAGAATTGTTTGACACTTTCGAGCGATTTCAGTGGTATATGAATTTTTGTAAAAAATGATGACGGTGGAAGCAAATCAATCTTCTGTGGTGTTGGGGCGATATTGCATCTCTTAAGAGCATGTTGTTAGAGTGTGTTATAAATTTTCATTGTTAAGGATAGAAGTTCATTAAATGACGACTTTCCTGAATAATGATCTGTCAAATAGGTACTTATCAGTTTTCAAGAGCAAGAAACATAGGTATGCGAATTGACATAAACTTAAACAAGATCTTAACTTCAGTAGTTTCGAATTCAGCTTTTCCTGACAGATCTAAAATACTGTTGTCTTATGTTTTCTCCAGTACCTGTATATTGTTTAGAGTGAGTATTGCTTAATATTTTCTTTCAGAAATTTGAAAGTGCATCTACCTTCCAAAAACCGATGAAGATCAGCGAAATATTTACAATGTACAGTTGGCTGAGTTGAAAGAATGAACGAAATAAAAGTAATACGAAAATTTTCGTATTGATATACGTTTACGATAAATCTCGAATAACAGCACTATATTGATGAACACTAAGAATTGTACTATCTAAAATGTTAACTATTCTCCTTACGCATACGCTTAATCAATTTCATTGGACCTTGAAAACTGACTCACTGTGTTTACTTAAGCTGAAGTAAATATCCTCAAAGTTAAATCAATTTCAACTTCAAAGACAGCTTTGATCTTTTATCACTTCAACTATCATACTAATTTAGAAAGTAGCCATTTTAAAATGACTTTGAAGGGTTAATGATAAATAACGGACGGCACATTGACATGTTGTTTTGTTACAGCCAATTCTTCCTATTAAGATGTTTTTCAGCATAGAAAACTAGTGCATACTTGCATAGGCTAATATCGTCCATCTTCTCATAACGTGACACTCTAATATAGTTACTCTATCATCTGAATTTATGGTGGAATTCAAAGCCACAGTCTAATGAGAGAGACTACTATTTTGAGGAATATGAACAACAGTCTACTATTAAGATGGTAACTGAAAGATAGTATAAGTCATCTTGACTCGGAGCTTTAAATTGTATGGTAAATATCAGCCTCAGTAGTGCAGAAGAGTTCTACTCACCTCTTTAATGTTTATCTTAAAAGTAGTATTGTCGCGCTAGCCTATCGACAGAACGATCATATTCTTTCTTCTCTTACCTAGACATTTTGTCTCTTTCATTGGTTTTTCTTTGTATTTTATCTATAGACATTATGATTAGGGTTAACACAATCAATAATCTTATTGACTCGATTTCATTTTCATCAGTATATTTGCTGTATATCGTTTTTTATTTTTTTACTAAACGATTTTCCCCAGTCGTCAAGGTTTCCTTTATATCCTATTTAATAACTACCGTTCTTATGGGTTTTTTAACAAGTTGGATATCTAAACCAGTTATAGACTGAGATCTAAAGGGTTTTGAAGAAAGAGAAGTCTTACCTTACTGTTTGCCTTCTGGATACAGGTCAGTGCACGGCTAATGAAAGCACCAGCTTATTTATATGCTGCCAGAATACCTGTCTTTAGAATATGGCTGCCAGGTTATGTAGGACATTGACCAAGTAAACCTAAAGTTTTGTCATTCTTAAGAAATATTCTAAAATGAATATTAATATTATGTTTTACATTTCTGAAAACGACTGAATGTATTTTACAAGAATTTTAAAAAAAGAATATTTCTACCTTTAACATGAAATTAAACGACAACAATATTTTATCCGCTGAAAATTTTTTCCTTATAATCAAATACCTTGTTGGTTAACATATCCATATTAAAATTGAGTCTACATAAAAAGTCTAAACATTTTCATTTTAGCGTATGATATTGTGGTTGTTGTGGCAACCAGCAACTTTAAAGGACAGTAAAATAAGATCTGACGTGTTTGTGAATAAACCTCCAACGGAAGTTTAAACTAGAACATATGTCATTGTGTATAAAAACAATAAACATACTGACACAATATAGTTTATATTCACGAGACAGTGAAAAACTAGCTGATATATATCATAATTATGAATTGTATTCATAAAAATGTGACGGTTGAGAAAAAATATCATCAAATATGGGACTCTCCCAGAACAGTATATTTTAAGGCAGCCTTAACTCAGTTCTAAGGTAATATTATTAAACTTATTTTCTAACTAAATCCATGGGTTTATTTAACAATTTCCGAAATTCTCCTAATAGGCTTCTAGTATTCAAAAAAGTACCCATCAGAACTCTGAAAATCCACATGAGTTTCAGGGAAATTATTAATGTAGGTTGATTTTTGTAGATGAACATTTGCAAGCCTGTCAATCCTTTTTACAAAACATTGGAAAATTCCATGATGTGCGACAAAATGTGTGTCGTGCTCTTATTCAGATAATGAGAACAACTGAAGTGCTATGAACAGCGGGAAGTGACCTGTGGATTATACAGACAAAGACAGTTAACAGGTTTGGATGAAGTGTTGGGTAATACGCGAAATCTATTTTTGAAATGTTATGATACACAGCAGCCAAAATCAGGTTTTAAAGGACAGAAAATAATTGGTTTCAATTACTATTACATTCATGATAGTAAGACTAAAAATAAAGATAACGTACTATAAGCAGTTTTTAAAACAGAAAAGTTGTCCATAGAACGGGCTATGCAAACCCCATGTTCATCGCTTGCCATTCGGATCAAAATCATGTTAACCATCTTTACTTAGCGGTAGCAAATGTTGATAATTTAAATGAAAAATGTGTAGATATGTTCTACGCTGTGATCATTATGACCTAACAACTCATGATGCTTCATAGTTAACAAATATTCTACAGTATTAGCATACGTTCAACATGTAAAATGATCTAGTGATTTTATGGCATTTTTAAATTTATTTGAATAACTCGTACTACCGTCTCCATAGATCCTATAAGCAACAGTAGTCTAGTAGTCTAGTAAACTAATAGTATAAATACCTTAATATCACTAATACTTAATACGTAACAGATGTCTGAAATAAAGTTGTTGCCTATTGTTAGGGTGATTTTGTGTTCAGTAAGCCAGTTTCATTTAATTACTTCACCTCAGCTTAGCCAAAGCTGGTGGCTGCCACTGCGTTTCTTATATTCTTTGGAAGACGAAATTTCTTACTTATTGTTCACACGAAAAGGGTTGCAGTGAACGGATCTAGTAGCATGCTCTACAAAATTATTAAATTAGGCATGAGATGCTATTACTCGAACCAAATAAAAGTTTTGGCATTTCACCGACAAACAGATCCAATTATTTATTGAGTGGATGATCTCGAAAGATTTCCTCTGATTCAGGATTGTTACAAACTAGTTCAATGGACAGATGAGTAACTAAGATAATTTCGAAACAATTAAATATTTACAGTTTCAAAGATGTCTTTAAGTTTGAGGAAAAAACCAGTTGAACAGATTTATAAATCTATAGTGCTCAATCTCTTTATTTCTATCAGGTCAAAGCTTGATCCTGATATCTAAAAAATTGACTAGATATACTGCATAAATCGACCGTTTTTTATGATCTTGGCTGTGTTATTTTCTTTAAGCTGGGTGGTTTATTCATGAAGTTTTCATTTTCTTTCTAGGCAACATTTCCAGTATCAACTTTAACATGTAGTAAGCGTTAAGACTGTTGTTTAGAAAGGAAATGATAATTTTATGATTAAACAACCCAGAGGAGAGAAAGCAACGCAAACAAGAGATGAATTTGCATGTTATTACCTTTTTCACGCCTTATGAATTTAGTTTTTACGGATTCTCAGTTAATTAATCTCACTGGGATCTTCAGATATTCAGGTATGAGTGTCACTAAGCTTTCATCTCTGCTTACTTCATTCAAATATAATCCACAATAGTTATTCCCCGTGGAACAGAATTCATAAGACCAATAAGTTAAGATAGCAACTGTCTATGAAATGCACAACATCCAGTTTATATGAGGTTATGATGATAAGTACCAAGGTTAACCTCTTTGGTACTTAAATCAAATATCAGTTAATGAAAATGATAATCGGGATAGTTTATAAGATGATGAAATTCAAGACAACGTCGGTCTTAACAATTTAAGATTGTTAGCTTTGTCGAAAAACTGATTTTCTTATCTATAACATATGGTTGCTATAAAGCAATGTTTCTTGTAACACTTGTTTCTGGACATTATTTTTGATCTGCAGTGATGTACGTATTTAAAAGAAAACACATTAAATTATGAAAAGTTTTTGAGACTACGAAGATGAATTTTAAACTTTATATCTATAGTTATTATTACGAATGAACATTTTTAGATGGCATAGATAGTTACGCTAGTATGCGTGTTTATATTAATCTAGACATTAAATAAAAACATACTATTAATGAACTCAAATTTACCTGTGAATGTACTGACACTGTTTGCGAATCCCATAACTAAACCTGAGAAATTCGGGGCTAAATCAATCACATTTACAGCATAGCCTGCCACTGCAAGACCAGAGAATCCTGTGAGAAAAAGTATACAGTAGACAGATTAGAGTATTATTTAGTGAGGGCTATAGTTTAACGGAAACAATGCTTTCGTTAACCAGTTAAATGTAAACAATGCAGAAGATAGATCGTTAAATAGAAGGTTAAAAAGTAATTTTTTTGTAAAAATGCTGATAGGGATGAAAAAATAAATGTTTTTCTAACTGTCAAGAGTGTTACTAATGAAACCTCCACAAATTATGTTAGCGTACATATAAGAGAAATGACCACTTCTCAAAGCAAATTCTAAGTTTAACTTGTGATAGCGGTTCATTTAATACCTATACTTGGTATATCGTTCCTCTTTTCTTGTTTTTTCCTAAGAAATAAGTAAGCGTTTGGTTCAACGTCTGTGGCTTCTAATGTGGCATACACCTCTCATGTTTAGATTTGGTTTAAGTTCTGTAGAGCAGAAAAAAGAGTTTAAAACGATGGAAAAACTGGAATTACTGAACAGATCCTGTATATGACTAGGAGTATATTTATACTCAACAGTTATGCATTGGTCTATCTAGTCAAATCTCAGCATGATAAATGATGTTTTCTCGTTATCTGTAACTCAAAACGGCCATAACTGGGTGGTTTGGAATTAAAGTGGATTCATGAATACATAAAGAGATTTATAAAGACTTTTATCGCAAATTATCTAAGTTGATGCGCATTACCACTTAGACTGCTACCTTGTAATATATGTTGTAAAGATGAAATTATCCGTGAGTTAATCCTTCATTCACTGATGGACATAATGACATATCTATCTACCATGAAAGAGACAGTAGACAAATGTTTGAGCTTTGCAGTACTCTTTGCCAGCTAAAGGTTACTTAGCGGCTTGTAACTTCTCTAATGTTTTCTTAACCAGCAGTTGGCGATGATACGCAACCTAGTTCTAGTAATTTGGTTGGGCACTCGTGAAAACATTTTACTGGTGAAACCTTTGAGTGCAAACAGATAAAATGAAGCAAATATTTGCAGCTTGCGAAACACTTCGTTATTCTAAATCTCAACATTATAACGAGCATCTATATAAACTGATAACTTACTTCATTTCATTGATTTACTGATCGCGTCAGGCTTCAAAGTTGAATTACTTCATTAACTAATTCAGTATCAAGTCACAAAACTAGTAGCAAAATGTCTAACACGTCCGTTATAAAAGATAGATTATAAATTTTACATTGTTACTTGCATCATTAACAATTAAATTTCAACATCCAATGGGTATTTTCAATCTGCTTCTTTTATAAACTAATGGTACAATTCATAGGTGATCGCAGGTAAGAAAGTGTAATCGGTATTACTGCCCGAACAAATTAAATATTCATATGAGCATATTAAAGGAGTCAATATCAATAAGATTACAGTCAACTCAGGAGCGTGAGTGGATTGGTTGTCTCAGTGTCCAAGATCGAAGTCAATAAAGGTATTCAATAAAAAGTCAGTAATGTAGGCATCAGTACACTGGAAAGTAAGCCTTTTAAATTCAAAACGACAGTCAATAATTTCACCTGATTGTTGATCTGTTTACAGCCTTCTCATTTTCAAATATTACACTAATACGCTACAGATTATTTCAAATGAATGGAAGTTATTCGGTTAGGAAAAATGGCTTTCAATCTAATGAAAACTTTGCGGCGAGAATAAATGCTTTATTTAAAATAAACTGAGAATAAGATTTGTAACTACTGAGAGGGATCAATACTTTTTCAAAAACATGAATGTTTTTTTCTGTATAGCTCTATAAAGGACTCCTATAGTTTAGCCTTGGGACGACTTAATCAAACGCTGCAGTTTGTGTTACACTGGTAAAGGCAATAACTTTGAACCACTGAATTAAAAGATCTACTTTCAATCTTGGAAAAGCCGAAATGTCTAGAAGATTTGAACCCATGCAACCAAGTTGTTATGCATGATTAGGTAACGAGACTCTGATTAGCTTAAATATGTCAGCATCACGTTTATTAATAGGTTGTTCGAAACTAATTCTTGTGAAATTATGTAATAATGATACACATGATAACATCTGAATGAACATAACTTTCATTAAACTTGAGGAAAATTCTACGACACCTGGTTAGGAAGCTTGTTGGAGGCAATCACCTAGAAGCTTTGGACCCAGGTTTCATGCTTGTTAGCACTCATCATCAAAGGGAATCTGCGACGTCAACGAAGCTGCTGACCCGCTTGAGATTAGAATCCACGTCACCCTGTGTTGCACTCAGCGGCCTTACCACCACACAATTCAGGTAGACACCAGTCTGCTGTAGGACTCTGTTACATACATTGATTGATCACTGGAGAGCTACCACTCCCATGTTGTGCAGTCCTCAGTGCTGACCGAATCCTATTGATCATTTTGAAGTGTGGTCATCAAACGAGGTCATCTGCATCTTGAGTAGCTCAATGGAAACCTCGCTGACTAAAACACTGAGTTAAGTGGTTTTGAACTTTAGGGGACTTTTCAGTCCCCTCGAGTTTGCAGATAAGCCATCCTGAAAAGTGTCGACAAGCACAAAACCTAAGTCATAAGTTTCCTGCTAATTGCCTCACAGCAACTTACATCCACCACAGTGTGGCGCAATGAATAGCTTCCTAACTTGGTGGCCACGTTTCAAAATGATCAGTAGAATTCAGTCAGCAATGAAGACCAGATAATATGAGATTGGTTTCTCTTCGGTGATCAATCAGAGTACATACCTGAAGTAAATAAGTGAGATACCCAACACTTAACTGCGATGTTCGTTGGTACATCTTTCGAAGTTTAAGTTAGATTGACAGTAATAAAAATTAACGTGGGAAGTACCAGTAATCTTTATTGAAAGACACTGAGTAATAACTTTTAACTTCTTTTCTGCTTCACTTTTTGTTTTATATGTTTGGCTACTATATTTCAGTTAGTTAAGTAACTACAAGGAAGTAAAACGTTATAAATTTCGTTAATAAGAAATCCTTCAAGTTGAAATGATGGTTTTTGGGGACTGACTGTAGTTTCTATCGTGAAGAGAAACACTGCAAAACTTGGAGCACTGGATTTCTGTTTCCTCACAGTTTGGGAATATTCGTCGGTGTTTACCGACTGTTATGTGAAATATTGAGCGAAGGACTACTACTCATTATCGCAAGCGTGTTACCATTCAGCAGCCAAATTAGAATTCAGGAATCCACTTCTAATAATCCTGTCAATTTGACACATGTTTCGATAATCAACAAATATCATTGGTGAGTGCCTGTATCACTTTCGCTACATGGTCCCTAGTAATAACCATTATCCAGTAATGATATGTTAAAATGTTTCCCTTTCATCAGCGAGAAGAGATATTATGGAGGTTAAGCATACAGATATTAAGGGATTTTTTCATCAAGCATACAATGCTATTTTGTTCGGATATGTAGATACCAAATGAGGATAGTGAAGTAACAGAATAAACATCTCGTTGTTTATAAGTTCATGAATTTATTCTTATTATGCTCAATAATATTACCAAAAGTGGCGGGTATAAACAAGTTCAGAAGAAATTACCTGAACATGAAAACTAAAAATGACTCAGCTGAATTCTCTCGGTTGTTATTCATAATCCACTTCAATTCTTTTTGTTTGAATGTTACACTTAGTCCGATTTATAAGTCGTTCAATGATAAGGGAATTTTGACGAACAGAAAGAAAGAATCAAATACATCCCACCGATTTCACTGCTTTCTGCTTGTTTTGATGGCGATTTTTTTCAAAACGTACTGTCCGGATGATTCTGCACTAATCTAATAGTTGTTTTAAAGAAAAGAGCTATACTAGCAGCCACATGCTATCAGTGTTAAGGCCATGGACTGACCTAATAAAACTCAAGAAGTCATGCATTTTTTAGTTCATTCAAGTTTCCATAGAAAGAATTTGATTACGTTGAGTACTGTGAGCTTAGTGGTTCAATCGTGGAGGTTTCATTGTCTTCCTAGGCAACACGGCACTAACGTCATTACGAAGTGAGCTGTCAACATCTGTCCATGAACGATTCAGTAGTTTGCCCTAACAAACTAGTTAGTGATTGATTGATTCTTTTGATCGTTGTATCATTGATAGCATATATTTGGCTGTTGACCATTTCTCTGCTTGACCTCCTATCTTTTTGCGAACTATCATTTTAAAACAAGCAACGAATGAGATAGATTGGGTCTATATGTATGATTTTGTAGTTGTTGCTGAATAGGACAGTCATCATCTACAGAAATCAACAAATGGATTATCCTAGCGTACATAGAGAATACATCAGAGATAGTGATAAGATTACTGAGACCACCCGGAATTAGTATAGCTCATAAGATAAATTCTCTACAAACCATATTATGCAGACTAAGAGATGCAGAAACCAAAGAAGACAAACTGAATATCATTTACAAAATCAGCTGCAATAATTGTGATCAACATTGCATTGTAAAAAGTGGTCACGCTTTTAGCCTTTGTTTACATGAACACTAATAGGCTGTTGAACGTCGCGATATTTCATCGTTCATTTCTATGCGCGAGGACAAATATGGACATGAATTTAGTTTTGACAATGTGGAAATCTTGGACAAAAGAAACACAAAAGAATATCAGAAAATTCTCAGAAGCTTCGCATTCAGTTCAGTTAGCAATTAATAGATGTATAGATATGGACACAATTCACTACCCAATAAGAAAGATGATGAACAGCAGAAAGGTCAGAGGTCAAAGAGAGTGAGAACCAGCAAGCAAATCTATGCTGTAAATGATACAACAATCAAAAGAAACAACCAATCCTATACCACTTCGTCAAGGCAAGCTACTAAGTCACTCACCGAGAGATAGTGACAGCCTATTTCTTATTGAATTTAGTGCTAGTGGTGTTGTCTAGGAAGACGATGAAAGCTTCACGATTAAACCACTCCACTCAGAGAAGTCAGCGCAACCAAGATCATCCACCTGGGCTGAAATATTCACCATCACTTCATCCAGAGAAGTCAAAGATCTCTGAGATAAACTGTTGAGCAGATGTAGGAAACTAACTGAAATGACAACGACTGCGCAGTTCTAGGTGCCAGAAATAAAGACAAACTGCCTGGTTCTGCCACTTCCATGTGAGTTTATCAATTCAACTGTTCCTGAAAGGCTAGTTACGCTGGGTGTACAACCAGGTTGTTCCATCGTTCAACTTCTGACCCCCACCTATCATAGTTGAGCAAAGGATAAAGTAGAACAATAAAGAGCTCCATACTTGCACACCTAGTTGACACGGGACGTCGTGGATACTAGAGAAACCTTCAAAATTATTCATCATATTTCAGTTAGTTCACCACATGGATTACGCACTCACTTACTCCATATAGCAGAGGCGATTTCAATCCACCTTTACAAACGTAACCTTTGTATGAGAAAGACGTTTGTTCGACTACTTACATTACTATGGCCGTCAACATGATGTGACTTCTAGTACTACATTGTGCACCTCTTCCGTCTCTTGTATCTATCACCATTCATTTTTCTCTCATTATTACGTAACCACTTGTTGTTTTTGTCTAAACACTCATCAAAAATCACTCCATTGACCTAAGAATAACCTGCTTCATATTTTCAATTTTCATCACTCCACTGATCATTTATATCCTTATTTCTTTTGCGTCATCTTCATGACACTGATCACCAACCCCCCATCACCTGATTGGTAATTTGAATAAATTGTAAGACTATATATCAGTGTAGCGTCCAAAACAAAGACCTAATTCTAAAGGAATATATTTCTTTGCTCAGTCTATGTTTTAGTTCTTTTAGTTAGCTTGTTTTGAGAAGTGTATTTCCATGAAGTCATTTAGTCTTTGATGGACGCGGAGTTCCTTATTCTTTCACATTTTCTCGTTCTCATCTTTAATTTTCAAACAAAAACAGAAAACTGTCGGTTTATTAACTGGCGTTGAGTGTTTGCCGTTCCTTGAACATTGGAATATACCCACCTGACCATAGGAAATGAGATCAGATGATTGCAACGAAAAAACTTCTATTCAGTGAATTCATCCAATTCACTGCTTATTTATTAGCATATAGTTGAATGAATAGAACATTTGAGAATTATTTCCGGCCATAGGTCAAAATGGAGTGTTCAGCTAGGGAATGGATCTATTATATGTACAGGTACTTAGAAAAAGAAAACAGAAGCATGGTCAGAAGATGAAATATAGTTTTATCACAAGGGGATTATCACGAGTTATCAGTCCTTTAAGGTGATCGTTCCAAGGAAAGAAGTTGTATGCACTTCCTTGAAATAGTCAATTACAGTTTACAATTCTGAATTCCAGTTGTTTAAATTCTTCCATGATGTTTTATTCTTTCTCCTTTTCGGATGACTTGTTCGCACTTGGCACAAAGCTTTATTGGATTGTTCGAAATTAACCAGGTGTCCTTTTACAGAGCTAAAGATGTACTTTATCCTACATTAGTGGTGAAAATACTCCATTTGTGGATCTGCTTACTCACTTTCGATTCGAGGTGTAACAGTAAAACATTCCTCGTCATTAAATGGAGGACAATATTAAACATTGGCCCACATCAGTGTATGTACATAAGGTTACTCGCTCTTTTCAAACCGAGTAAGTTGGCTGTACTATATGGGTACTTACAAAAGTGTTCTTCAGCATAACCCAGCCTTCCAGACAAAAGAAGAACGGAAGTGCATCCTCGAATCTATAAATGGAAGAGCGCGTCAGAAAGAAAATTTTTTCTCGCTGTAGTCTATTTATTTTCTACATAATTCACTGAGGATAATCGTTCTCCACAGTGATTCCTAGACTTTTGTCTTCATTGATATATAAAAATAGTATATCGTCTCCATAAACACTTCTACACTTATTGTGAAGTTGCCATAATATATTAAAACCTATTACTGTATCGATTATCATTTGACTATTTGAGATAGTAAACTACTGTATATTTGAAAGATATGATGAGTCTTATTTTCATCTAGGTAAATTAAATAAAAGCCTACATAATAAATACTGAAGGCCTGAAAAATGAAAACGGCGGCCACATATTTCCTTCCTGTTGGAGAAAGGGTGGTTTGGTTTTAGTTAACTACAGAAAGAGTTTTATGCCACTCTTGAAAGTATTCACTTTCAGCATCATTCACTTTCGAATCGATATATTGCACTGGATTGTTGATTATTTTACTTTTGAAAAAAATCTTCCGTTAATGATTATTTTGTTATCTTCCTTTCTGGAAATCAAACTAGTAAATGAAAGCGATCGATGAGGATTTATTATTATCACAGTCAGAGGTTTGTCAACAAACAATCATATTTGAGTAAGTGGTTAGCTAAGTATGATACTCACTACTGGTGTTCTTGAAAAACTCACTTGATAATCTTTGGAGAAGACGATTTGGGAAATAATTTGTTAATGTGAGTACAGATGAGTGTCAGTAAAATAAATGAGATGCATCCCTTTGAAACCGAATCCTATCAATTACGTCTCAATTTTAAGCATGTTTTTATATTGACCTGCTTCCTTTTCGAGTTTCCATAATAATTACAAATGTATATCTAAAATAAAATTATGCCAAATGATTCACGAAATGATGAAGCAGATATTAGCTCTCACGGTTTCGTAGATAACCTCTTATCTAGTTGTGACATTGTTAATTTTAAATATGATTTAGTATGTCACATGTTTCAGCAAGTAATAAAACCAAGTGTTAAAACGATTTTTGCTTAGTGAACGATAAAGCAATAAAACTCAATTTATCAATCAGTCCTACCTTTAACTTGCGAATGAAGTTATTTGCCTAAGGCCTTGCAGAATATATTTTTATGAGTATGAGAGTTTACTAAAGGAGTAAGTGGAAATAATAGTTGGCAGAGAATGACAATCTACAACAATACGTTGTTTTGAAGTATAAACTCCGTGGATCATATCAATTAAGAGGCTAAAAGTCCCTAGGAGTACTCATAATCAATAAATGTTTCAGAGAAAAAAATAGATCCCCCGAATTTGTGTGTTCATTGTCCAACCAACTTTCGTGAAAAGCGAGACTCTAAGCAGTTACTGTTTAGGCCCTTAATGTCTTACACAACAAGTAAGTTAAGTCACACTTTACTTTTTAATTTTTTGGCTTTAAGCAGTAGATTATCTGATTCATTTTAAGCTTTGAATAAACGTAAAGCATTTTATGGTTGTCTTCAAGGATAACTTGGCTTTGTCAGCCTCAACAGTAGATTTCCAAACTGACTTTTGATATAATAACATTTGAGCATCGTTTACGAAACCGTGATTAACTACCTGAATCACTTTAAGTTCAGAAAGGTGTAAAAATTGAGTGTTCAATCGGTTTTATGATAGACTGGAAGTCGTAGAATTTCACAAGCAGACAGTTAATTTCAACATATCATTAGAGGAAAATAATTATGCAACTAATCCCACCATTCGGATACACGCGGAATCTTTACAACTCAGACTGTTTGATATGATAATAGGCCAATATATGGCTTTGTTTGCAGGCTGAAAGTAGGCAACAGAGATTAATTACGAGTAGGAAGAACACATAAAACTTACCCAAAGCTAGTGAGAGTAGCATTGTTGCGTAAATCTCCGACGGTGCATAACCAAGGGCGATAAAAAATATTCCTTTTAATCCAAAACCTAACCCAGCGAACATTTTGCGTATTGTAGTCCGTGAAAGGCTAGTGTTTATTCTTAAAAAGTCAGCAAATATACCACCTAAAAACAAATATATTCATTTTATTACACAGTGGAATGCAGAGTTAGTTATAATAATTTTCACTAAAACAATGACAGGATGAGTGTACATTAGTCATGAAAAATTTACCTTCATGCACTTTGCGGCTTTTGGAAACGCTTCTTTTTACTGAAATTTTCTAATTTCAGACAGAAAAGCGATCAGTTACACACAGACACTGTCCAACAGTTTATCTGCATATTTCACTATTAAATTGCACAATTACGTACCTATTAATTTATCACTTAGGTCCTGCTAAAACCTTAGATGACGTATTGTCTACATTGTTCAGTACGAATTCGTCCCGACCATACCCTTAATATTGTTAAATTGGTTAAATGGAGTGTTGAATTAAGTATTATCCAAAATATCATGCCACAACAAACTTCCTGGCACCTTTGCCTGAAGTTAAACTGTTTTGAGATTTAGCGGGTATCTCCAAACAACCACAGATCATTTTTCATTGGAAATCATACTCTTGAGATTTCCGCTACAAATTCTACATGAAAAAAAATCGTCTATTCTACAAATTAATTACCTAATAGCTAATTCATTCTGTTTTTTAAGTAGTGGGCAAAAACAAATTTGACTTTTAATTTCGTCCTAATATCCATTGTTTATGTTTTCCTATCAACTGTGTGAAGAAAACGAGTATAGTGGGATGAGATAGAAATTTGTGTCCTTTCTGTTTGGAAATTAAATTTACGGAAATCTTTCGGGTTTCTGTAAGATAGTCTGACATAGAATGTAGTTTTGCAGTCATATTGTTTCCTGTAGTCACATTGTTCCTTTTCTGAAAAAAATTAATAAGCACAGTTAAATTTATATCTTTTTAATAATAATACTAATTGTTTCTCCAGGTACACTGTTCACTCTTTGACAATATAATGATTTGTATTGACTGTAGTTAATTCAGAATACACATTTCTTAGATTAGTGATCAAAACTAAATGAAGATCAACAAGATCTTGCTATTTTTTAGGATTTTATTTAACGGTGAACCCTAGAATATTAAAGAAAATCATTTACCTATTGATTTTAGTCAATAGTACATCTAAAGAAGACAATTTTTCTCACACTGAACTAGTATGTGAGCTAGCACACGGTGGTATAGTATTATATACAAGATGAAGTGTCAGTTAGGAGTTACTGCTCATTGTCATACGACTGCTTGATTTTGTCTTAATGATTTTATTGTTTTTCCTTATTTTATTTTATCAGTAGTAAAGTTCAAATATGCGACAAATTGTACTCAAAACGCCATCCAGCAAATAATACCATTTCTCTGTGTAAGTCCAATCTAATGAAAATGAACTCAGCAACCTTGTGTATATTTATACAGTAGACAATGAGCTATATGTAATGTGTGAAAGGTAATGATTCTTTCTGACTTCATAAACCTTGGTAGGTGGAGCAGGGTTTTTACTTGTGACCCAGTGGTTGAAAATCATCTACCTTAACCATTTGGCCACAGCTATATTAATTAGGTAAACCTAAATTAATTTTTAATGAAACTTTACTACAATGTTTAAGTGCTATATTTACATTGCAGAAAACAAAATTTGAATAAAAATAAATGCACTGTATTTTATTTTATCCTCTTTAGTTAGGAAGAAGCTAACAGCTCTAGCTAATAATAATGATGTTTCAAGGGTGGAAGTTTCATATTCCAATAAAGAATAGGAGTACAGATTCAGGCTGATATTTTTTACTATCTGACTGATTATCCAACTAATTTACTGTCTTTTTCACCTCCGAAGAGGAATATCACTTCATTCTGATAGCAAAGTATAAATATATATATTGTAGATTATGACACAAATCCGCGTGTCTCTTAGGAAACGGTTCACTTATTTTAATACTATCTTGTAGTGTAGAAATAAAATACAGTATCATCATTTTAACGCATTTGTGTTACAACAAAGCTGAATTTTGAAGTTATTTCAAGTTAGTCACTCATTTATTTCTAGCTGACGCGCACATGTTTTAATACTTATACCAAAACATTGGTCAAGTTGTTGTTCATTAATAAGTGATGGTTACAAATTTTTGCGTTACTCAGGAGTGCAATAATATGAGAAACAAGGTTTCAAGTTTATGGATAGGTTAATCATTCCATTTTCGTCTGAAGGAATTATAATGTTGTGAAACACACTGTTATCATTTAAATTCCATAGGAAAAAAGTAAAAATACACTGTCTTATAAAACATTTTAATGTCAACAGCCATTATTTAGAAAGAAGGAGAAGAAAGAAAGACAATTTAACAATGGGGAGGAAATCCATCATTTCGAATCTTGAATTCTACTACTTTCCTGTTCAGATGTGGGTCAAAATCTGTAATCGATGATTGTTAACCCACACCCTATTTGACTTTTCTCATGAAATCGATTGTACTATTTCTATATCACTGAAGGGTCAAACATGAGTACTAATTAAAAAAAAACCGTCATTTCATTTTTCTTAAATGAAAACTTTCAAAATATTTTTCTTCAGTAAGGATAAAATGACTATCGGAATGATCATTTGAAATAGCCGTATTTTGGCAGACTGAGGGCTAGATGAAGAGAAGTGGAAGTCGCTTCTATTACCAAAAGTTTCACTCAGCTATTGTGTGAATTCCTGAGAGCGACCTGGATTCTTGTTTTATCTTCACCCAGTATGAATGATATAATTATATAAGCCTGATTTATCTCTGAAAGAAATTGCATGCATTGTGTCATCCTATTTCTTTTAATTAGTCAGTAAATTTAAAGTTTAACTTTTTCTCAAAATAAATACGTTAGTTTGCAAATAAGTAAAAATATTAGGACATAACAGGTTTATATAGCGCTTGTCAATAAGTAAAGCCAAACAAATCCCAAAAATGTCACAAAACGGGTATAGCTGAAATTATTGATTTTGTTGAGAGGTAATTGGCTTCGCGACTGACTAAGTATCTATAGTGTTTACGGTGGCAATATGATGCGTAGTTTTTACAAATGATACTGCTTACTCTTGCATCTACTTTAAAATGATATTCGGATGTATATCACTTCATTTTTTGCAGTTTTTGTGCTTTTTTAAGCTGGCATATTTTGTGTCATAATAACATTTGTATGAAATTACAATGCAATAACTTTTAGAGGGGAAGGATTCCATGAAATGACGCTTTTTGTGTCGAAATAACATAAAATGCCTAAGGCATATATGTGAAGTATTTCTGGCAAAATCGGTACATAGCTTTTATTTCCACAGAAGTCCCTTGGTAAACTGGGATGATTAAAAGGATTACAAAAAGGTTTATGACTTATTTATTGTTGCACATTATCAACCCTATAGACTTTGATCACTAAAACTGTCAACATGCTAGAAATTACATTGTCTGATAGGCACAGGTGAGTAAGAATACTTCATCAAACCAACAGCTAGAATCAGTCAAAAAGGGTAATTTGTTAACTAGTCGGTAACTTCGAAGTATGTGTTTCACTTACTTTAAAAGGTTTTTCTTAAGATTTATCAACAACAGGAAGATGCAGAATACATGAGTGTCCAGCTAGTACCAAAAACCACTGCAGTAATCTTTCTCAATATATAAATTAACCAATACATTTATACAAAATCTGATGAATTCACTGGCATAAATGTATAAAAGAACACAAACTGATTACAACTGTCGAGGAAAAATATTTGATATTGATGTAAGGATTTGACTGATTGTGGATAAAAATTCGATTTGACTATGTATAAAGCACACGGTAACCTCCTTGAAGATTTCTAGATGTCGTTTAAATGAAAGGTATTTTTAGCTAAATCTATAGTCTCATGACATATTGAAAATGATTTTGAAAGTTGGCATTCACCACAGACCGAAATCAATTCCATTAAAGAACCATAGAAATCCTAAGAGTACTGAATAGTGACTTCGTCTAGGCAAAGAGCTCCATAGCATTGTGCATCCATGACCACATCAAGGCTCGAAATGAGGACTCTCAGGTCCCGCAACAAGCAAGTTAGCGTTTAGCTAGTGAGTCGGAATCCAATGGTTTGAAATTTCCTTACTTCTTTTAATTCGTGATATAGTATGACCTGGATTCAATGTCATGATTGAATGTTCATCCTTATGTCAAAATTGGTTTACCTCACCACTGACGACAACTTCTCATCAGAGCTTTGCGAAACCATACCTCAAAGTGAGTTACCAATAAGCACAGGACAGTAATTCGGCCAGAGGTTTATGGGAATTCACTAATTTTAAGTTGGTATTTGTCACATACTGATAACAGTTGGGTTTTGAAAATTTTAATTTTCAAGTTAATGAACGGTGGTGCATGTATATAGAATCTACACAATGAGCTAAGAAATTTACGGGAAACATGTTTCCTATAACTTCAGTATATTTATTCCTAGCTTAATCATTGTGTAATATTTTGGTTGGTTGGAGGCAGTCGGTAGGAAGCCTCGGACCAAGGTTTCGTGTTCGTTGGCACTCATCAGCAAGGCTTATCTGCTACTTCGATGTAACTGATGTTGGTCAGCACTCAGGACTTTACAACATGAAGCTGGCTGCTCTCCCAGGATCAATCAACGTTTCTTCAAAAAAGCCCTGCTAACGTGCTGTGACATCAGTAAGTCTTCAAAATGTAAACACTGAGTTAACCGTTAAGACTGAGATAATAAGATCTTTTATAATCTATCTGTTTGATGAATTTAAGTGAAAAATAAGAGTTAAATGTAAACCCAGGTTGTGGATTTGACTGAATGTACTTGCTCATCGGTTTCCATTTCTGCGTAATGATTACTGGTTAGTTTTGAATAGTTAGGCTGTCAATGATCGAGAAATTTGTTTTCTTCGTTTGTTGACTTACATAACAAAAATGTGTTGCGTTCATCTTACTTTCCAGGTTTTGACTTTGATTGTTAACAAGTTTAGCTATGCGGCTTTCACATATTCTGTCGATGTGGATTTCATAGGGTTTGATTTTCTATCTCTTTAACTTTTA